GGGGAGTGTTTACAGTCCAAAACCTGCAGTGCCTTCCTCCCCTCCCGGCCAGTGCAGATTAATTATCTCCTGGCACCAACCCCCATCCTCTCCACCTGCCCATTCAGGGTCCCCCAGCCCAGGGGACAGCAGGGTGATTTGCCCACAGCACCCCAAACATGCTCCTTTGCAGACACAGCACGGGGTACCCACCTCTGGGGCCCGCAAGCCTGTGCTGGTAAGGGGGCGCCTCAGCACCTACCACCCGGCCCTCCCGGCCCCTCCCGGCCCCTCCCAGCCCTCCCGCCGGGAGCGCCCCCCACCATGCAGGCTGAGAGTCCGGATCTCCGTCAGGGTACTGGAGGAGAAGTTGCTGAAAGCTTCTTTTAGGTTCTGAAACTCCACTTGCATCTGTGCTCCTTGTCAGGAGAGAGAGGGCAAAGGGCAGAGTGGAGGGGCTGTGCCCCATGTGACAGCCCCAGCACTGTCCATGCACTGTCCCTCCACCGCCCCTTGCTGCCTCCGGCTCTTCCCCTGTCATAGCTCTCATTGCCTCAGCACTGCCCAGATCTCCTCCCATCAGGGCCCATCCCCACTGGCCTCTGCAGTCCTCACTCTGGGACCCGATCACGCAGACTGCCACCAGCAGCAGGATGTTGAAGCCCAGGGCCAGCAGACTGAGCCAGAAACTGGAGCAGAGACTCTGCAGCAGAAGGGGCTGGGAAGAAGGCGCTCCTGCGAGAGAAAGGGAGTCAGGAGGGAGGCTGCCCAGGCCCAGCTAATGGAAGCAGCCAGGGAACAGACGTCTGAGGAGGTGCAGCCCAGGTCGTGGGAGGAAAGTAGTGGGGAGGTGCTGGGCTTTGGCCCCAGTGTGTAAGCATTGCACACACTTTCATTGCACACTTGCACCCACATGAGCACGACATGCCTATATGCACATACAGCTACACAGGTGTGTGCAACACACCTGCACATGGCACGGAGAGTCACATCATCTGTGTGTAAAGCCCCAATCTTAGAGCTGGGGGACCTAGAGGACAGACCTGTGTTCTTAAAATCCATGCCTGCGCCCTCAGAAAAGTCCAAAACTGGAACACCCCCTCCCCCCCAATTCCACTGGGATGTTTAAGTCCAGGCCACTCCACCACAGACCACTCCCCAAGGGCTGCTCTCCGAGCCCCATCCTCTCTCATCTCCCACCCCTCAGAGCCTCCTCTCCCACGTCTCTGCCCTTCCACCCCAGAAACCCCTGTTCCACTATAAACTCTCTCCCCTTAGCCCTCAGTCATCTCACAGGAACCTCTCCCTCCCCTTAGTCAAGCTGAATCCTGAAAACACACACACACACACACACACACGTTTTTCATTTTCCTCTCACACTCATTACTGCACATACACTCATTGCCCCAGCGCTGCACAGACCTCCTCCCATCATGGTCCCATCCCTGCTGGCCCTTGTGATCCTCACTTTGGGACCCAACCACCCAGACAGCCACCAGCAGCAGGGCTCTGAGGCCCAGGACCAGCAAACACTTCCATTAACACACATTCTCACAGTCACACATTAACACACACATCCTCATACACGCTCTCACATGCTATAGCACACACTCACATACCTTCTCACACACATATACACACCAACACACATGTCCCCACATACACACACACACACATGCACCCACATCTTCACAGGCACAGAACTAGCTTTGCCCCTCTGGACATATCTCTAGGCCTGGAGCAGTGGCTGTCCTCCCAGCCCCACGCTGCTGCTGTTGCACCATCCACTTCTTTTTTTTTTTTTAAATATATCTTTATTGATTTCAGAGAGAAGAAAGGAGAAGGAGAGGGAGAGATAGGAACATCAATGATGAGAGAGTTGTTGATTGAGCCCACAACGTGGGCATGGGCCCTGACCAGGAATCGAACCCCGATCGCCTGAATCCTAGGTCAATGCTCAACTGCTAAGCCACGCCTGGCCGGGCCACTTCTAACAAAACATGTCCTCTTCTTTGCCTCAGAGCCTGGCCTTCCCTCTCCTCTCATCTCCATCACACCCAGGGGCTCTCGCATCTTGGGATACTCATTCAGGGCCCCAGAGTCTTCCTCTCCAGTTCTCAATTGCCAACATCCTGAGTTAAATGTTGTTCCTGTGAGTGACCACCCAGAACTCTTGACCTCCTCACACAAATAACTGTCACCTTCCTCCACTTCAGCCACACTGAAGACCCCATCTTGACCCAGAAAGGCCATGTCTCTGACACCTTCACTGCCCATTGCCTGCTCTGAGCACTGCCTTCCCTTTGCCTCTCCCCTCACATGCCTTTGTGGTCCCCTGTGTTTCTGTCCATCTAGAAGTTGTCCCTGACCACAGTCTTCCCCATCCAGCTGGGACTCCATGGCTGAGACTCTGATTGCTCTCACCAATACTTAAAGGGCCTTTGTCCTGCTTCCCAGACCAACCTATGACCTATAAACCCTCAACTCTGGGAAGCATCCAGGGGAACAAAAGTCTGAGGAAGTACAGCCCAGGTGGGTGGGAGGAAAGTAGTGGGGAGGTGTTGGGGAGTGTTGCAGAGACACCTCTGCCCTGAAACAAGACCACCCATGGCTGAGTCCCTTGTGCCACCAACTAGCTCTGAGATCATAGGCAAGTCATTCAACTTCTAGTGCCTCAGTTTTCTTGTGTCCACTTCACAATCTAAAATAGTCAAACTCATAGAAACGGAATAGAATGGTGGTTGCCAGGAGCTGGGGGTGGGAAATTGGAAGTTGTTCAATGGGTATAAAGTTAAAATTATGGAAGATGTATAAGTTCTAGAGATCTGCTGTACAGCACTGCACCTATAGTTAACAAAGCAGTGTTGTGCATTTAAATTCTATTAAAGGGTAGATCCCATATTATGTGTCCTTACCACAACAGAGAGGGGGAAAAAAAGTGGGTAAGAACAACAGCTACCTGATTTGGATTGCTCTGAGCACGAAATGAGTTAAAACATGTCAAGTGCTACTTAGGCAAGTTGGAAAATAAAAGAAAGGGTTTGCCCTCCTCCCAGAGAAAACCAAAAGAAGAAACAGATCACTCTAAGAAACAACCATTTTCAAGACACTGGACTTCAGGCAACACAGAGCAATGATGCCTGAGAGACGGGACACAAACAAGATGAGTCCTATGATTGTCCCAGCCTAGTGCTGGGAGAAAGTTTTCAGGCCATGGGGCAAGGAGGGGTGATCCGAGCAGAGGCCAGCAGACTCCTCCACTTGAGGAGATGGGGCCAAGAGTCTGCAGAGACCGAGGTCGTTAGACTTCACAGGACAAAGTGTCAGAGGAGAGAGCTGCACAGAGAAGCACGGAGATCTGTACAGGGTTCCCTTCAAGCAATCAGCTGAATACTGATCAGTGCATACATGTAAAAAAAACTGCCCAAGACCAATAGGAAGCAATCTGAAAGGATGAGGGAACAGTGCCTGGCACTCAGACAGGGCCAGAAACAGTGCCTATTCCCACCAGCCAGACTGGAAAACATAACCTACAAGGCACTGGGTAGAGGACCCAAGAAGCCCTTCCCCTGATGGTGCTCCAGACCCACCTAACAAGTCATAAATACCAAAACTTATTCTTATTCAACACCCAAAAATAACAAACTTATTCTTAACTACATCCCAGAATAAAGCTCAAGAATTTAGAGGGCCCAGCTGGAGTGGCTCAGTGATTGAGCGACAACCCATGAACCAGGAGATCACAGTTTGATTCCCAGTCAGGGCACATGCCCGGGTTGTAGGCTCAGTCCCCAATAGGAGTCGTGCAAGAGGCAGCCAATCAATGACTCTCATCATTGATGTTTCTATCTCTCTCTCCCTCTCCCTTCCTCTCTCTGAAATCAATAAAAACTTTTTAAATAAAAAATAAAGATTTTAAAAATTAAAATTAAAAAAAAATTTTTTTAAAGAATATTTAGAGGAATACAAATATATCCAGCACACAACAAGGTAAAATTCACAATGTCTAGCATCCAATCAAAGATTACCAGTCATACAGAGAAGCGGGAAAACACATGCCGTAACAAGGAGGTTAATAAATCTATCAAAACTGATCCAGAACTGACACAGATGTTAGGATTAGCAGACAGGACATCAAAGCAGATATTGCAACTGTGCTCCATGTGTTCAAAAACCAAGCAGAATATCCAAGAGGATATTTAAAAGGCCCAAGTTGGACTTCTAGACAAGAAACTACAGTGTCTGAAATAAAAAATATACCGGGTGGAATTAATGGAAGATTAGGCATGCATAAGGAAAGATTAGTAAACTTAAAGATATAGCAATAATAACTATATAAAAAGAAACACAGAGGGGGGAAAATACATTTTTAAAAATGGAAATAGCATCAGTGAACTGTGGGACTACTCAGAGATGCAGAATTGGAGTCCTTGAAGGAGAGGGGAGAAGGGTGAGGCAGACAATGGCCAAAATATTTCCAAATTTGCTGAAAACAGAGGCATATAAGGTGCTCGGAAGAGTGGGAGACGTCTGCTCGCATGCAGGCAGCAGAGGCTGCCGGGGAGACGCGCGCTGACACCCGCACCGCCTCGGGGAGCCCTGCAGTGTCTCCTTCGGGCCTTTCGGGTGAGCCCCTTCTCCCGTGGAACCCCAAACTCCTGGACTGTCTCCACACCCCCCCCTTAAACTCTGAACATTCTCACCTTCAGAAGATTCAACAACATCCAAAATCACTCTTGAGTGTTCACTGCCCACCAGGCATCGCGTGGGCACTGAGGCTGCGGAGGGGAGGGAAAGACGCGGCCTCTGCCCCGCGCAGCCTGCGGCCGCTGCCCGGGAGAGGGAGAGGAGAAGCCTCCCGCCGGAATGAAGGCCTGTCCCTCCTGCTCCTGCTCCTGCCCTGCGGCTCCCACCCGCAGCAGCACCAGCCTCCGCAGCCTGCCTGCCTCAGAAATGAGGGGTTTCTCCTCCCAGCCCAGGCTAACCAGCTCCTCTACCTGAGCTCCGCGCCCCAGCGCCCCTTTTTTCCACAGAGGCTCACTCCATCACCAGCGCCCACACATCTGACAGCCCCCCCCACACACACACTCCTGCCCCTCAGCCTAGTATGGCTCGGGTCTCTCTCCTGAAAATCTTTTCCCACACCCCAGGCCTTCCCTCAAGATCTGCTAGATAAAGATCCAGGTGGTGGGCTTGGGGAAAGTGAGAATTTTCCAGAATATCTCTGTGTCTCTGTGTCCATTGCCCCACTCACCCATCCCCACACCCTCCCACATACACATACACTCTCCTGGCTGAATGTGCTTTTCTTGCACACACAAAATGCACAGACACACATGGCACGTAGTGTCGGAAGAGAGAGGAAGTTTCTCCAGCTTCCACCCCTCACCTCTGAGCACACACCCTTTCCTGGGGTCCTGAGGGTGGAGAGGAAGGTGAGGTCAGGGGTAAACATGGGTGTTGGCACCTCACACCACACCTAGAGGGGCCCAGGCCCTGCCACGGAGTGAATGTGACAGAGACCTCAGAGAGACAGTGATCAGGAACAAGACAGGTGAAGCGAAGCCCCAGAAACTGGATACTTGCCTTTCCAGAATGCATCTTCTCTCCTGGGGCTGTGTCCATGAGCACCTTGCCCCTCACCCCTGCCGAGCTGGTAGTCGTTTTCCTCGGAGTCCAGTTGCTGGATGTCTTGAAGTTCCTTCTCCATGCCGGGTCTGGGTCTGGGTCCGGGTCCGGGGCGGGAGCTGCGCCTGGGGTTGATCTGAAGCTGCCCTTAGGGCTGGGGCTGAGTCAGGGCCGATGCTTGTGCTAAGCTGCTGATTCAGGTGGAGGCTGATGATGGCCTTGGAGGTGGGGTGAGAGGAGAGAGGAGACAGCTTGGGTTGGGTCTGACGTTGGAGGTGAGTTCGGGGCTGAAATACAGCCAGGTCCTGTCCCTTCTCAGGTGATTGCTTAGGTTGTGACATGGCCACAGCCTTCCCTCCACTCTCATCTTCCCATCTGGTCCCCACTGTCCCTGGACTATGGTTTCCTTAATACCAAACATCCCCAGTCCCACCTGCTTCCCCAACCTTGGTTACCTGTTCGTGTGGAGGGAGGAGGGCTTGTTCCCTGGACCCTCAGGCAGCCCAGACCCCAAGGCTAAGGAGGAGCTGGAGCCCCGAGAAGTGGGGCAGGTGGTGCTAGACAGGAGGGGAGGGAACTGGTCCAGGTGAGGGCCCCGAACCCATGTGTCTGAATGTCCAAGTGGTTCTAACCTGGGATCTCCTGACCCCAGGACTTTGGACAGTAAACAGAAGTGGAAATGGAGTTGGGACTCAGGCAAAGCATAGTGGGGGCTGGGGACAGGACTGTCTCTGTTCTGCCTAGAGAAAGGGTCTCCTGGTCTGTCCCCTTCACCCCCATAAGCCAGTCACCTCACACTTCATTGCACAGTTTGGAAGGGAGGACAGGCCAGGAGGGTGGAGGTGCAGGCCAGGTTTTCTCCCCCCCCTCCCCCTTTCACTCCCTGCCTCTGAATTTCCCAGAATTGTTGGTGTCTCTAAACACCCCTGACCAGGATCAGAGAGGCGGGTTCTTTGCTCTTGCCCAATCTGGCATCTGAGCCTAGGCCCGGCTTCCCGCAGGCTCAGCCCCAGGCTCCCCAGCTTCCCCTCCTGGGAGTGCAGCCCCTGGAAGCGCAGGGGCAGGGGGGTGCTGGAGCAGGAGGCGTTCAAGCCCCATCAGCCCTCGTGTGGCCCTGGCACCATGAACCTTTGTCCTCACTCCGGGCCAGGGTGTCCTGTAGCTCTCACGGCACAACACCCCAGGGGTGGCTACGCGTTGCTCCCCTTTTACAGGGGAGCCTGAGTGACTTGCTTT